TGTGACATATTCCGACACATTGTTACAGCTCAAGTGGCCGAGCGTGAATGTGTCACGAGAGCGCACGAACGATTGGACACGAAATTGAAAATCATCGCCAGCTCGTATGTGGCTAGTAAATCGTAATTCGCATGTCACTAAAATGATTAATGATAAACGTGTTGTTTGTTTGTTTTGTTGGGTTAGGCCCTTTCGGTCCAATGAGACCATTTCAGAGCCGGGAGGATGATAGGATATAGGGGGAGACATTGGTCTGCAGGCAGGCACCCTAGTGAGTCGCCGGGGCTGAGCCCGTCCAGAGGACAGGCCACCCAGCCCCAAGGCACTCACTGCACCCGACTACGGGGTGCGCTCCCTCGGGAGCAGCGGTGCCGCTCCAAGGGAGCAGCCCGCATGAGATAAAGTTGCCTGTCCAGCCCGGAGGGGGTTGCGGCGTGGAGGAGAAGGATTTCAGTATCCTGAGGATAGAAGCACGGAACGGTGTTAAACGTGCAGACATTTCCAAATAAGAGCAGCAATCAAATCATCGTTCTTTATATTGCTTCCCATATCATTTCAATTTTCAGACCTACTCGTAAGTATTGAACTTCTACCTAATCGCGACCACCCGTGCGTCGCCTTCCTCCGACGCCCCCTCGCCAGTCACCCCGGATAATGGACCGAGCTGAGACGGTCACTTGCCTTTGAAGGACCACCCTGCTACCCGACTAGGTGTGTCTGCTGCTGGTGCGAGGCTGGTCGGAGGCTGGTCGGAGGCTGGTCCAGCAGGCTCGGTGTTAATGGGACCGGTGCGATCCGTGCAGCCCGCCCCCGCGTCTCGCCGGGACCTGTTGCCTCACGCGCTGCACTGATGCAATGCCATTCAGAGGCCGGCAGATCTCATGCCGAGCAACCGCAGCGAGAGACGCTCATCGTGATGTCGATGATTGTGTGAAATGGTTCGGTGATGGGCGACATACCAACTGAGCTGGGAGAGTGGCCAAGAGGATTCGGGTGAGATGGGGGCTATTTAGACGATGTCTGACATTTGAAGATCGTTCCTATTTCTGCGACAAATTATTGAATATTTGAGGGGATATCAAAACAATCTCTGAAGTCAATACCGTCTTCATGATTCACTCATTTTAATCGTTCTCATTCTTCAACAGTCTCATGAAGTATTTTAGTTTCATCTTCGTGAGATTTAATATTTATCAATGCGAGTTCTGTCCTTCAGATCGTCCACATAGCAGTGTATTTGTCAAAGCATTAACGACTATGTGTCAGGCTACCTCCATATAAATGTCAATCGATAAAGGTGCCTAATTCACTGATTGCATCCATTATGATGGGGATCTGTCAGATCCGGATTCTATTGTTTGTGCGATATCATTTTATGGGCGATGCAAGGATATGCTCTGCCTGGGTGGTGGGAAAGATCTGGCCAGATGTTGCCTGAGAAGATATGTTTTGTGACAGCCGAGGCCGACAGAACACATTTCCTCAGATAAATATTGTGCCTGCATCCGCATCCAATGGTGGCAAAATTGCAATGAAAACTGGTCTTTTAGATTATATTTATGACCATAATCGTCCAATAAATACGAGGGAACCCGTTTCTGAAAAACAGTCATCTGATGCAAAATACCCACAGGAGTTTCATAAACCACTGGGCTCGTTTTTACAAGTTTGTTGTCATTCAACTCATTAATATTCCAGCGAAGTTCCACCTCTGTCCATTTATGTGCCTGTTGACATTCGCGGTTGCAGCATCTGCGATGCTCTCTGGGCGCGTGCCCTGTGCTCTCTCTCTCTCTCTCTCTCTCTCTCTCTCTCTCTCTCTCTCTCTCTCTCTCTCTCTCTCTCTCTCTCTCTCTCTCTCTCGGCGGGAGTAGCTCTACCCGCCGTGACCGACAGGTGGTTTCGCCACCGGCAGGTGTTGACCGGACTCAGCCGCGCCGCACCAGCGCCGCGGCGTCGTGACGACCGATTCCCTCTAACTGCCGGCGCGGGGGTCGCAATCCCTCATGAATCCCCGGAGGCGGCGCCCCCATTAAACACGACGCCGAACCCGATTCGCGGGGAGTGCCCTCTATCAGGGCACTATCAGCACCGTGACGAGCTGAGGCACCCACGGTCAGGTCACGCGCCGGTCACGCCGCCCGGCGCTCCTCAGCGGCGCAGATCGACCGTCGAGCCGCCGTAGCCGTGACCCTGACCCGTTTGTGGAGCCTCCCACACCGCGCCGCCAACCGCTTCACTCTCCTCGATCTGGGCCCGGCCGGTAATGACTTACTTTGGTTACTTTGCATTCCGGGCATCTCTCGCGCACTGGTAATGGATGCGGCGCCCCCACGGCGGTGTCAGGCCGGGCGCTCGTGTGTCTGGGGTCATCCGCTGATCCATCAGCGCGTTAGGCTCGCAGTGCGCCGATCGGCGGCCGTGCTGCGATCCTCTCCGCGGGGATTCAATCCGAGAAAATCGATCAGCCAATCAGCCTGGCTGGGGTCCACTCGTTAGTCAGAAATATTCCATCTGGTAGCAATGAAGCAATCACGGTTATTTCACTTTCCGCCTCAGTAAAGAGCAGTTAACGCTGTTTTCCTCTCCAAAACAGCAGCGATGAGAACGCGTTAACTGAGCGGCTGCCGCAGCCGTCCTTGTGGTAACAGCCTCCTCTGACGTTGATTCCACAGTGTTGTGGCCCGATGGAGATGTTTGCCGTACTCGCCTGATGACAGGTTTGCCAATAATGACCGGTGTGTGGTGTGAAGGCGGGGCTTAATGGCTGGAATTTGCGTAATGAAGCAAAAACCGGCATAATTTCACTCGCACTGCCTTGGCAAGGGAAAACGTGAGGAGGTGAATGTTTGTGCACGATTTCGACCTTCAGAAACGTCCGTTTAAGATGAAGTATGCGCAAATGATAACGGGTCAGATTATATTTTCAATGAAGCTCTTCTATTTATGACCAGTGCATGCTGACAAAGTTCTGGATACTGATCCCTTAACGCATAGTTACATCAGCTGAATGGCTGCCAGCCTCGCTGCCAAATAACCTCATTTGTCAACGAGAACGGTGTTTTTCTGCATGAGCTCAAGAAGGACGTTCTGTGCCCGGGCGCGGTGTGCGTGCGGTCCGGGCGGCCTGGCGGCGGTCGAGCCGATCCGGATCCGCCCAGGTGCCTCCCGCCGGTACCCACCAGATCGGAATGTGGCGTCACGGTACCCGAGGTCAGCCGACCACGCCCGGGGAGGGGGGGGGAGTCACACCCGGAAGATGGGTCCGGGTTCGGACCACACCCCGGGACCGAGGGGGGTGATCGACCCCACTCGCTCTCCCGCTGAGATATGCGAGGTTGTTTTGACTGGCTTTGGTATGCGCTCTGCTCTGTTTTTATGTAGATGTTAGAGCAACGAAGCATGATATACCTGCAAGGTGCCACCGAACTTGCTGAGCGCTGCAAAAGATATGCAGTTATAGAGGCTCTCACTGATATGTAAGTATTTCGTGATAACTACGTGGCCGTCCGTCACCGCTGACGTATTTCAACATTTAACGTCTTTCTTCTGCACACACAAAAGATTGACAAGTACACGCATACCTATCAATGAGACAAGCTCCTCGCATGCAATACCTACTCTGTAGCACTTTGGCTTGCTATCGTTGAAGCGCCTTTAGCTCGCGTGCGCCGCGCCGGTTTTGGCTTAGTTGCGCGAGTGGCGTATCCTGTATCTGAGCCTGAGCGGGTGGTGGCGCACCGTGCCAGTCTCCCGCCGAGCCGGAGTGCTCAGAGTCCGAGCTGGGATCCGTAGTGGGCGGCGGAGGTGCCTGCTCAACGTATTTACTCCAGACTTCTCAGGAGGGACTTATGGAATGATGCTCCATAGTGTATCCGGCTCCGCAAAAGTGCGAGGAGTGGTGGACATGCATTTGGTAGATTTGGAGTAGATCCGTTCATTTGAGATTGCTGAACAATATCCATTAGTTTTACTGTTGTGAAGCCAGTTGGATTGGTGTTAGCTTTCGAGTCTGCGTCGCAGTCCCGAGATACTTAGTGTGGTAGCGTTGCAGTCGCCCACGTCCCCACCTGCCCCATTCGAAAGGAAATGCCAAGAGGCCTCAAATACGATGGAATAGGATGTCATATGATTATGAAATCCATCCTGCATGCCGCAAACTAATCACGATCATCCCAAAAGCTGACCAAGCCCAGTAAGTGATTTTTTTACGCTATGTGGGTTACAAGAACATTAACACTGCGAGTCCTAAAAGTAAAACGTCTTCATATCAACATTCAACATTTTTTATAGGATATGGGTACACTTACTCGTACAGACACACTTCACAGACAATGTCAACATGATAAGCCAATGTAGGTGTTTCTTTTTTGCTTTATTCTTTCGCTTATTTCAATTACATTCCTTTGGTGCAGGGAAATAACTGATTAGATGACGCAAGCATTTGCCTATCCTCGTTTGCTCTGGTGATCCAGTTCACATGAGTAAATATTCGAACTTATCTCGCTCAAATAAGCTAGTGAAGGTGATATTAATGCCGTTACTCCTTACTTATGCAATATTGAGTGTTACTTATGCTGAAACATGCAAATTGATAGCCAAGTTCACTGCACCACTATGCAAAATGAGAGTCTGGGTGGAGGTGCTGCCATTTCTGTGGTAACCTTGGACGAGTTCATCACCAGATCCGAGGACCCGGCCCTCTCCGCTCGCGATCCTTAACCGAGCGCACTCATTTGGGTCAGCCCGCTTAACGCGATGAGCCCCATGCATTTCAGATTCTGCCCGCGGACTCGTAGTGCCCTGAACTAATTGGTAAATGGCATGGGCTGTCAGAATTCATCAGTCTGAATTAGAAATGGAATGATGCGAAGAAGGCGAAAATGAACCGTGCATATCGCATGTCATTAGTGATTTAGCTGCTCGTATGCAACAGCTTTTCGAACGGCTTAACAATTTTCTACTGCTTTAACATATGCTGTTTTTTTGTGTTATTTCAGGATGGACGGACTACCTCAGGATACTGCCGTGGCTAGCACTACTGTCGTTCACAGCCTGCCAAGATCCACACTTCGTGCAACCAAACGTGAGTTTTGCATAACAGTGGGGCTACGAGCTACCGACTGCTATAATATTACTATGCGCATATTTATCGACAGTCCCGTCTATTGCATTAGTAAGGCAACATTGCATGGGTCTGCGGCATGCATTGTTATATTCACCACAAGTTAGTGACTTCATATATTTGAATAGACCTTGGATATGTGCGCTTACAACGTCATGAAATAAAAAGCCTTATCTGCCATCCACATCACACTTTATTCTCGACACATCTCCGGCCCCCGGCACTCTGCCATAACATTGCGCAGTGTGCATGGTGCATACATCTATGCGATCACAGCCGGGCACAGACGTGATGAACACAAGATGCTGTCGTGGGGAGAGAGAGATCCATCCGCCGGCCCCCGTCACCGGCGCGGCGCGGCCGCCGTCGGCCCACGGTCAACCACCAGGCGACCTTGCATAGTTGGCTCAACAACAATCCAACAGTCTCGTTGAAAATCATTCTCGGACGAGCTGCCGGCGGACCGGCCCCGGCCCGTGGCCCCTCAGCTCGGCCAGCTGAGACGACAGATGAAGAAAGGTCAAGCGAGCTGTCTGGCGGGCAGCAGTCGTGAGTTGTGACTGGTGAAATGACGCTGGGTTTTTAAGGGGTGTGACAGCTAAAAGCTATGCGATATGTGCACTGTAAAGGATATGGTTGCAGCAATGCGTGGCATGTGTAAATTACTTGTTCACTGTCCTCGCAGGAAAGCGGACACTGAGAGAACAACGCACAATTTCATGTTAACAAACCACCTACAATGTCCCACTCGCATCGCCAAGTCACGCGTGCAGCGTGCGGTACCGAGCAGCCTAACGGTTACGTATTACGTGGCAATATCCTGCGGTTATCGTCACTGGAAAAATCTGTCCAATACATCACGTTAGAGTGTCATCGTCATCTGCTGAGCCGTGAGATTGTGCTGGTGGGAACTGCGCGGTGCGACCCGCTATTCTGTGTCGTCCCCCCCACTAAATCCACCGTGGGAGTCTGCTACTGGGTGCGGGGGACGGGCGCCTGTATAGCCACCGTCTGCGGTCGGATACTTAGGGGTCAGTTTTTGACACAAGAAACGGTGAATTGTTGGAGATGATTCTGTATTGGAGATGATTGGTGGAAAGATTCCGTTGCAATAGATTGTGGTAATCTATAGTTGACCTGTCTGTCTTTTATGAAGCATCACAATTTGTGGTTGACCTGTCAACCCTTAAAGCAGTGTAATTTACAGGCTATGTCTGTCCCTAATGAAGCAGCAGTCGAATTAACCAACCGGTTTTTGTTTACGACAATGCCGGCATTGAATACTCAATTTATGTTTCACAAACCACACACATCTTAAATTTATTTTGCATTGTTTGCTTCCATTTAATTATATGTCTCGTTAGCATTCTCAGCGCTGTTCTGAACAGAACAGAACAGAACAGATTTATTTGAATAAGATCCACGATTACATGGCTTTTCACTTACTCGCGTCTGAATGGTAATACAATGGGAAGTTGGAACAGGCACACGGAAATGACTACAAACATTCGCATACCATGCATACACTCGCACCAGAAACGATATCGTGAATCAGAGAGATCCAGCGAACAGCCTGGCATCTGCCCGGAAAGACAAAGTGCCAGGCTCAATGCCGCTGTCGTTCAGCAGCGACACACCGCGGTAACAGAGTCGCCGCCTGCCGGCCTCCACACGGATGGCCGGAAGGGTAAACGAGTCCGCTCGCCTGGTGTTATGATCATGCCGCTGGTGGGCTCGCTGTCCGAAGGTCTTAAGAAGAGAGTCCGGATGACCTGACTTCATCGTCCGCTCGACTGCACACAAGGTATGGTAAGCCACCAACTGTTCGGCCGTGAGCCAGCCGAGGCTCGATATGGCACCCGAGATGTGATCACATCGCCTTTTCCCGGTCACGACACGTGCGCAGAAGTTGATGGTCTTCTGTACACGGTGCAGCTGTGTGCTAGTACAAGACCCATACACCGACATGCAGTAGCGCACAATGGATAGCACTAGAGCTTCTGTGATGCCCTTTAACACAGGTCTAGGTATGACGTGACGTGCGTGACTTAGGGCTATCAGAATACCGGCGCACTTATGGGACATATTGTCTATCTGAGCCTCAAAATTTAGATGCCTGTCAAGTTGAACACCGAGGTTTTTAACTACTCCTGAGTCTGGAATGACATCTCCATTGTAGGTCAACGTCACAGGTGGTACATTGCGCAGCATTGAGGGGGTACCTAGCACTAACATCTGCGTCTTCTTGGAGTTGAGCTTCATCCGGTTGAAGCAAAACCACTGGTACAACATGTCGAGTGCGTGCTCCATTCGGGCGACGAGCTGCGGTAAGTCACACTTTCTGCCTGTCACTATCAGTTGTGTGTCGTCAGCATACTGGACAACACTAACACCGTCCGGCACATGCAAGCTAAGGTCGTTCGCAAACAGCATGTACAGAATACAACTGAGGGCGCCGCCCTGGTATACACCGATCATCTGAATCTGATCTGAATAAGTATACTCGTCATTTTGCTCCTTCATTAGCCTGCATCATTTGAAATATCAACACATAAGTACATTATGAGCCGTGTTAACGAGTGCTCGCCTGTCGTTTCCACAGCTAGACCTGGGCAACCTGCCCAACACATCGTTCTCGTGCGAGGGGAAGGTGGTCGGCGGCTACTATGCCGACTTCGAGACGGGCTGTCAGATGTTCCACGTCTGCACGCTGGGCTCCAAAGGTAACCGACCGACCCTCCAGACGCCACGCGGCCGCGCGTGCATGTACGTTTGTACCCGTACATACCTGACATCTCTTGTGTGCGTTGTGCACCAGCGTGGCGCGTCTGTTCGATGTGCCCGTATAGTAAAGCGTATTCCCGTATCGTACTCTTGTAACGCGTACTGTTCACTTGCAGCGGAAGCTGTTTCACAGTATCCCGTACCACGTATCCGTGTCCTGCTCCGTACATCTTCGCTGTGCCCCTGTACCTTACACTTGTTCTACTCGTCCTTGCGCCTCCCCGCAGGTGGTGAGTTGTGTTGATACCAAATATGATACCCGAGAGAGGATGTCATGCATGCATCACCATGCCACCATGTGTGGTCCCGTGTGTTAGTTATTTGCGTTGTGGGACGTTTCTCATGATGGCACCAGACTGGACTCGTGAATGTATGAAGACATGCTGTCAATGTGATATTAGAATGCGGTTACATTTCACTCAATGTTGAATTTGTATGCATGTTGGTATTCACCGGTGACGTACACTGGAACAGGGATGGTTTTAATTCATTTATAATTAATCCATAGATGCTCTTAGCTGTGTATCTCCAGACTTCATAAAATTCCTACCTCCTTAAGTGTGTTCAGCCTCCTTTATTGCACTGTAATTCGTTTAGTCTGCATCTTCTCATGCCGCAGCCCATTATAATCATGTTCTTCTCTAGCCTTACACTGCTCAGACAATATGGTATGCATTTTATTTTATGTATTCTTATCAGCACCTGCCAAGACCCATGTTTACCGTCACGTTTTGCGCTTTTCGTTTCAATGCCAGGCGAATGATAACCTGAGTAGATCCTGCCCATGAACGTAGCAGACAGCACCGGGAGAGAAAGGCCAAGGCTTTCCAGGGATTTCTTACGAGCGTTTAACCCTCGCTGCTCATACGGACCCCACGACTTTTGATGGTATCGCTTTTGATAGCGCCGTTTTTGTTGCTGGCTCAAGTTCAATGTTGTGATACAGATGTTGCAAAATGTAGCGTCGTGACTATTTGCATCTCGCTTTCATGAATATTTCATTGTGCCGTTACTTAGTCGATTCGTTAGACACTGGCAGAAAACATCTGATACGGACATTGAAATCAGCCAAAGGAAACTATCTCGGCGAACGTATTGTAGCCGTTCGCCTTGGAGCTTCACCTTTCGCATTCATTATGCATTGCAAAGTTCTGACTTTCATTTTGATGACATGTCGGAAACTAATTTCAACTACACTTGACGATGTAACTGATATTTGTGTACTCGTGCCTTTCACGCGACATCTCATCAGCCAATGATATCCCACTCATGTAGCACTCACTCCCCTCTTTTTTAGCGACTTTCAGCGCTCTTCGCCATCTGGTTCCGGATCAAATAGTGCTATCGTCACCAATCCTCAGATCAGGGAGCACTTGGCGACCCCATGACCCATACCCTGCGGCCACGTTGGCTCCGTCCCGAGCCCCATTTACCTCCACCGCACCTTAGACACTAAATTAAGCAGTCGCCGGCCCGAACCTTCCGACGAGTGTCGCGAGGAGGTGGTTCATGCAAATGAAACGATCCCGCGTGATTGCATAGTGTTTTCCTTCGTACAATGATCAACTGTATTTACAACTGTGCCTGTTTCGCCAGGTGAGACCCAAGATATCAAGTTTATGTGTCTGGCGGGCACGGTTTTCGATCAGAAAACGCGCGTCTGTGAACGGTCAGAAGAGGTGCCGTGCATCGACGTCGAGCACTACGACGTCAATAAGGAGCTGTACCACAACAGCAACAAAATATCTGTGTGAGTACCTGTAGTTGTGCCACAACAGCAACAAAATATCTGTGTGAATATCGGGCCCGGCGTGGGCTCTCCCCCAGAAACACACCACTCGGAAATGTCCTGTCGTCAGGTGACCAGCGCGTTACGCTGTCTTACTCAAGCTCTAAAAACTGGCTCTCGGGCAAAAGCTAAACGACTTTGATCGGGGTGACCCCCGGTATACCAGTTTGGGTGCACTGCGGGCGGTGGCCGCGGCTGCTAGGCGGGGGGGGGGGGGGGCTGGGTCACCAGCCAGTGTCTCTGAGAACGTACAGCTGCTCAGAGGAACCGGCAGCTGCTCAGGGCAGCCAGCAGCTGCTCGGGGCAGCCGGCAGCCGCTCAGGGCAGCCAACAGCTGCTTAGTTCAGCCGGCAGCTGCCGCGGAGGGCACGGTCACTGACGGTGGGAAAATCGCGGCCCGGTCGCACGCACGCCGCGGCCTTCGGTAGCGCGGCGGCGGCTTTCATCGGCCGAAGACCTTCCTGTCGACCCGACCCGGTGGTCTGAGGCCGGCCATGGCCCGCCGTACGGCCTATTGTGGCGGACAGAAAGGGAATTTGTCACGGTGCTGTATCGGGAACTATTGACAGGCGCCTGGGTGGGAATTTCTGCACCGTTTTACACTTTGTCATGTTCAGCCGTGCATCGCCTTGACCCATTTCAGTAGCTCATGCTCAGTACAGGGTCCGGCAAAAGTCTTGTCGTATGTGGTATTCTAGTTTCTGTGTCTTCCCATGCGCGTTTTACCCCACCCAGCGTTTTGCTTCCAACGCAATTGTGTCAGCGCATCTATTGTGCCCCGGGGTATGAGACCACAGATAACCTAAGGGTCAGCGGCTGATTGTGCGAGGTCATTTGAGTAGCGAGCGTGCAGTTGAAATGAAGGCTGAAAACACCATGGTCAAATATTACGATGTCAGTCTCAGGAATCGAGCCATCGGCATGATTCAAGCGGGAATGTCACAAAGTCTGGTCGCGAATAATGTCGGCGCCCCTCTCCGACCAGTGCCAAGGCGGTGGAAGCACTTAACACCCACCAAATCGCCAGAATGGCCGCATTTGTTTGGGCGCCCGACGCAGCCAGTGTGCCCACAGCTCCTGTCAAATTCCCAGCGAAGTTGATGGTGTGGGGGATGGTGTCACATTAAGTGCTCAGTGAGCTGCTCCATGTCATCCCGCCCAAGACGAAGGTGGACACCAAGTATTATGTGGAGACCATCTCGGAGGAACTCCCAGAAATGGCTCTGTTCTGAAGCGACGGATGGTGGCTGAGAGGTCGAAAGCCATCTTCATGCAGGAAGGGGCTCCAGCGCATCGCTCTGCCACAGCCCAGCAGTGGTGCTGAGACAACCTGCCGCACTTCTGGGTGAAGGAAAAGGGGCCGGGGAACAGTTCCGACCTAAATCCCATTGAAGAGCTGTGGGCGATCGTCCAGAAAGACCTCGACAAACAGACGCCAGCAACCAACCTCGCGCAGCTGGAGACGCAGCTCAAGTCTGCGTGGTCACGAATCCAGCCGTCTGTGCTCCCCACTCTCGTGGCCAGTATGCCGAACCGTGTTCGCAAGTGTTTGCTTGTCCGTGGACAATACATTGAGCGCTGAACAGCTTTTTTATTTACAATGGCTTGAAGTGTGGAACGATTTTAAAACTACGTCAAGACTTTTGCCGGACCCTGTAGACATAAACTTCCATTGAATAGGCATGCATTGTTATTGTATCATGTTTTACAAAAAAAAAATGCAATAGTGAAAATCGTTGCAATCTTCACACCAAAAACCGGCCAGAGCAAACAGCCACCATGCCTTCGTATACTCATTGCTCACCTTACCCGTCCTCTCCTGCAGCGAGTTTGACGGTAACGTGACCGACTCGGCCGGCGGCGAGTCGGTGCTCCACCCGTACGTGCCCAGCGGCGAGGAGTACGAGGAGGCCAGCGCGCGCTACCCACCCTCCGACTACCGGGACGACTTCAGCAGCGAGTGGTCGTCGGGCAGGAGCAGCACGCGGACGCGCTCAGAGGTGCCCGTCTACCGGCGGCGCACCGGCAGGAGACGCGGCGGGCGCCGCGTCGTGCCGCAGCAGCCGGCCTTCATGTGAGTCGACAGGGCCGGGGATGGGAGCTGATTGCACTGGAGGCTTTTTGAATTTGATTTCGTTCACATTTCTATCCCAAAGTATTTGCTATTTCATTAGCACGCCACTTTCCTTAACATCGCTTCACTCACTTTAGAAGTGACATCAAAGAAGGTGATGCGCAACATCAGGAGCTCATGGTCGTTTCGAAACAATACGAGTGTGGTAGATCGCTCCAAAAGCAGGAAGTTATATAAATGTAAATCCTAGGGCAGGCCGCAAGCGTCATCTTTGGCCGCGATAATGATTTATGGGAAAGCCTCTTATTATTTGTTTCCTCCTCCTGACATTATCAGCATCAGAATCGTCATTAACAGATACCCATCAAAACACCGCAGCAATAAAAGTGCATGGTGCTATGTGCCATTCTGCTATTTATATCGTACTTATTAAACCAGTACCACTAAAGGGACACTGAACTTCATGAGATGTTAGATAACATCATGCCCATGACTAATGTAATACCCTAGTCACACAGCAAGGACCGCAAGGAAACAAAAAATGAACGTCTTTCAAATTTCAACATTCCACACAGTACCATGCACTCCTCTCCTGCACCTCTTCCCTCCCTCTCTTTACCCCTCTCTCTCTCTCTCTCTCTTTCTTTCTAACTCCCCATTCTAACTCCTCCATCGCCAACAGACGGTTCCAAACGACAACAACGTCGACAACGACGACGACGACGCCGAGCACGACGACGCGCCACCCGGCGGCGCACGAGACGGCCACGGTGCCCATCATCCCGGCTGCCAGCGACCCGGACCGACCTCGGGTCATCGTTACCAATGGCATGCCGTTTGTGCCGAAATTGGACTCGCCGGATCCGGCGCCGGCGCTCACCACCGAGGTAGGTGGTAGAAAAGGGGAGCGAGATTATCAGTGAACGGGTATCTGGCAGAGGAGGGCGGGAGGAAAAGGGGAGGGCAAGGGGTGCTGAGGAGGAAGCTCCGGGATATGGGATAGGAAGGCGGGATATGGAGAAAGGGAAGGGTGAAGCGACTTTGTTTCCTTTTTGCCGACTAGTTATGTTTGTGCTGTTGGGTAGTGTGGCTATGTCATATAAGAAATTTGAAATGGGAGCTATAAATCAATGAGTTGAGAAATGAATTAATCGAATAATGGATGGATATCAATAAATGAATCGATTGATAGGTACATTTTACTCACATAGTTGGAGACACCATTAGAAAATAGATTAAAATGTAGCAACATCGTTAAGAAGTAATTTAATCAGTAGCCCTAGCAACAGTTTTATAACTGGACATTTTACAAAGCCAGAATGACTCAGAAAAGAAATGACCGGTTTGAATGCGGACGTGTAAACGTCCGGTACAATGAACTTGCGAGGGTGATGAACCCTGCTATGCGGACATGTAGATTTGTCTGAACTCCGGGAGAAGAATGGAGACAATGAAGGGATGAAACCGCCAGTACCAGACAGCACGGACTATTTCTTCTGCCTGCGGAGAGTTCAAGAGCGATTTAAAGACGACAGTTTGGGATTAATGGCCCTTCCCAGGTGCTCGTTTCCAGATCTAATCATTTCGGAGGATGTAACGGAATCGGAAAACCAGTACAGTCAGTAAACTGGTGACTCATGGCCAACGACCAAAGACCTCTCCTGTGGCATAGTTTTTTAGATGATAATCGCATTCTTGTCATGCAACTATCATTGTATTTCAGAAGAACGTGATGCGCTTTTTTGCTTGTGAGTATCCTATGCCTAATTTAAATCAACCAAAGACGTCCAAACCGCAAGCTCGTTTTCACTCGACCCGTTCTGATAAACTCTTCCCCAACTTACCAGGAACAACGCTCATCAGTTCACTGATACTGCCCGAGACTAGAGTATGATTCCCCTCCCCTCTCCCAACGCCCTAACCACAGGAGAAAATAGAAATACTCGTCTCAAGCGCTTCCCGAGACCAACTTCTGATACTTTCCTCCCCTTTCCTCCATGAGTACTCGTCTCTGGCGCTGCCCGAGACCAACTTCTGATACTCCCCCCCCTCTCTTCAGGAGGAGTACTCGTCTCTGGCGCTGCCCGAGACCAACTTCTCGTGTGAGGGGAAGGTGAGCGGCGGCCACTACGCCGACCCCGAGACCAACTGCAAGATGTTCCACATCTGCGTCATCGGAGCCGATGACACGTGAGTGACGATGACAGATCGGCCATGAAAACTGAATGTTTTGTGCTGATGTGAACTCGTTACCGTCGGCACTACGCGGGCATGGACGGGTTTTCGTTCTGTGCTGCGTTGTGGTCTCCGAATAAAAGTAACGCTGCCGTGTTTACTCGTTCACACACCATATCTTTAAAAGACTATCTTACACTTTGAGTCCACGTAAAATGTGTTATGTATTGCAAGATGTTCTGAATTCATGTTTAATGAGCTTGGTGATTTTTGGTCTTATTTCAATTCAACTTAATCATATTATATCATGAGCATAAGATCATTTTTCATCACAATATATAATATTGGATAATATTGTTGTGAAACTTATGCTCCGTTTGATTCGTTTCAGCATCACCGACTACAAGTTCCTCTGTGGAAACAACACGGCATTCGAGCAGAAGTCGCGAACTTGCCAAGAGATTGACAAAATAGACTGCGCCTCATCTTCTGTAAACTATTACGTCAACAATCATCTCATCATCCCGAGTAAGTACAGGTCAATCGCGCCTCTGAATGATGCCATTTTTGCACTCACTGTCTATATTTACCTCTAGACGTTATTGGTCAATGGTCAATCGCTAAAACTGTGCAAATAGCTTTCTAAGTGCTTTGAACGGGTTGCGAAAATGCGAAGAATGAGTTATTGCATGCACTGGTAAAAATATAAGCAGCACTCGAAGGAAAGGTAAGGCCAAGAAAATGAAAGCGTTCTAAAGCAAACAGGTTAGGTTACGTGTCAAGTGAATAAGGATTGCCATCTATCCCGATAAGTCGTTCCATATAGAATTTGTCTGTATGGAAGAAGCAAAACGAAATCTCCAGATGGGACTCACAATTGAAGTTACTTTCAGCCCGCTCGCAATCCCTTATTTTCTATCAACGTCTACCCATTCTGGGCTCTGACCAGAATCACAATCAGAGAGCCTGCTTTATCCAATTCCAGACAGCTGTAAATCAATAGCGCTCAACTTGTCGGTGGACTTGCCACTTCAATTTGTTGCTCATTGACTCTGAAAGACTCTTCACAAACATCAGTGAAACGTATCACAAGGTCATATTGTCTAAAGCAATTAGTATTCCCCAGGTGTGTGTATCGCAATGAATAAGTCAATGTATCTATGAAATAAGTCAATGCATCTATGAAATAAGTCAATGCATAGAACATAACATTTGTTGCGCCGCTTGAATGTATGCACTGTTAGTGTTAATATGCTTGAAGTGTTAACATTAAAGATGCATTCATTTGTACATACAAGACGTTCATCATACACCGGGTGGCCCAAAAAAACGTTCCGAACTTTGATGGCCTATATCTCAAATTCGAGTGCAAATAACGAGGCAAAATTTTCATCAAGTTTGCGTCACTTCTTTGCGCATTGGTATGCCAAATTATAACACTGTACCATCATTTTCAAGCCAGCAATCTTATGTTGAATCAAGTAAGACGTTTTTGCTTTTTTGCCGTTGTTGAACGGAAGTAATTATTGGCTTGGACGTAACATGTTAGAAAAAAATACAAAAAAAACGGTTTGAATGATACCAGCACGTGTGTTGCTATTTTATATATTTTTGTCACACTTATGTGCCAAATATTTAAATACTAAGCCAAAGTTGTGTTAATGGATGCCATTCGTTTCAACACAAGTTCTGTTTCGAGGCGAAGGAGTGGCACGGTGCATGGGTTACTGCTGATCGCCCTCCCTTCAAGAAGATCAAATAATAAATCGACCGAATAAGGAAAAAAGCTAGAGGGAATGTGTCACCCTGAGGCCTGAACCACCAATGAGACTAGCTGCCAGTAGCAGTCATGGCTGTAGGCCGTGGTGCCGAGATGGAAGTGGCCCGTTCACTCACATTTTTGGTAAACATCAGAGCAAAAAAGTGATTTTTACATGGCATGCTAGAAACACGAACCGTTCAAAAAGTAATTGACCGAATAACATAAAAATCATACCATTCACTGAAAATATATGTCGCATTGACTATTGGAAGTTTCAATGTTGTATCTTTATCACTTTCTGAGAAATATTGATTTAAAATTGGGAACGTTTTTTCTGGGCCACCCGGTATAAGTAAACGCCGTATAATCGACGCATTCCCAATACGATTACCGTTAAGCGTTGTGTATGTGTTTTGCATGACGAATTCGGGCGTACTCGCTGCTCCTACGGCTAGGTTTATATTTGGACGATGTGCAATGTACATAATGTATATATTTGCAAGCATGCATCGGTACCCTCTGACTGCTTAGTAGCCTTTGCAGTTTCAGCATTAGTTGTGTACATACGTTGGAGATTTGCAATATCCTCGAGCTCGAGCTATCGCACTTTTCACATGGTGTTGGACACAGATGCAAATGCACATAAATCACTCACTTCTAACAATTAACATAATGTTTCTTTAATGCTGTCAGTCCTTTAATTTCCAATGACTTTCCGAATAAATCAAATCAATGTCATCGGCATGTTAACTTTTTTCAACTAGAAACTGTTTCACATCAATATCACTTTAATCTTTTGGAGTCGAACACCTTTCTTGCTCAATGCACCTGTCTCACTATCTAGCACTGCAGTAGTGACGCCTCTCTGGCCAGTATCTCAGCTCCCTCTCTGTAGTGGCGGCCCCTCTGTCTCTCTCTGTGGCGGCTGTGGCGGCGCTGTCGGCGGACCCTGTAGCTCGTCTCCCTCCGTTCGCAGGGTGGCTGGAGGACCTCGTGCGCCGCCAGGCCAGCGAGGCGGCCCTTCAGGCCAAGGCAGCCCTCGAGACCCAGAACCGGGCCATTGCCGAGCGCGACGAGGCGACGCGTGCGCTGGAGACGTCGGACTCATGACTGTTGGCGGCCGGTGGCGGCCGCGGCGTGTGGCACCTCCCCGTGGTGGCGGCCTGGCCCGGTGGGCAGTGACAGAGGGCGGAGTGGCGGAGTCGGCCCTGTAGAGGGGGAGAGGCACGGTGTGGTGGTGCGCGCGGCGCGGGCTGCACCGGCGGGGCGCTGGCCCGGTCCCCGGCCCTGCACGAGCCCGCTTTTCGAGTGCATGCGGCGGCGGTTCGGGCGCGCTCGGGAGGCCCGCCGGCAGCGCCACCTGCGGGGACGGCGCTGCGACGGTGGCGCCACCGCGGGCAGCCGCGCGCGGTTAGTGCCAAACTGGTTACGTCTGCTGTGAGCGGGCGCTCTGAGATCCTTCTGTTGTTGATGTCGTGGCAATAAATCATCTCCCAGCTTATACGCCGTCTCTCCCCGCAGCCACCAAGGCGCCGGGGCTCGCCGAGCCCGCGACAGACCGGCAGGAACCGGCCAAGACCTATGACGACTATTATGACTATTACGTTGATTACGCAGACTACAAGGATTACTTCGGTGAGTCGACGCCTGACACTGGAAGCTAACGCTGAAACAAGGACATGCCATCCACAGTACACGTATAAGTCGATAACTTTTCGCTGGTCATGCTTCCGCATGGCCGAAAGATCGAAATGAACTTCTAAATTTTGTACAACCGCTCTGCTCTTGGTCTTTCGACGGTTGCATCCAACCATACAGCTCAAGAAAGCAATCGAAGTGTGCCATAAGTTGTTTGCATGGTAGGATTGTTCAACCAACCATGTCCCAATACAGCACTTGCTGCTAATTACTGCGGATATTGCATCAACCCAACACACAAACTCATGCATAATTCGACTCGCCGATGATTTTTTTTTCATCGACAGCCGTACAGCTAGCTGCTAACCACGAATTGTATACGTTTAGGGGGAAATAATCCCACCTAACCCAAGCCTGGGTGTGATTATCACAAGCCATGAGTGTGACTGTGCGAGCTGCCTTTTTCACTTTTCAATCCTTTACATTAACTTGGTTCTTCAGAGAATTATTATCGCACTATCTGTAGCCACACGTGTTTAGACGGATCGGCAGTGGACTTCCTATGAATGTGACCTACGACAAGCTGAGGGTGTGCCCGTTTCAGACTCGCCTGACACCGGCACGTCTCCAGAGTTCACATCGAGACGCCTCGCGCCCGAGTGACGTCACAACAAGTCAATGGTGAATATCTACATAGAAATCGGAGACGGGCAATGGCCATACTTGAGCACTTTAAACGTGTTTTGACCAAAAAAAAAAAACTAAAGTACTTCTTCCTGTTTAGTAGGCTCCGTCTGATCAAATTATCTCTTTCATTGCGCGTGCATTGCACGAACAAGATTTTGAATTGTTAAAATTTTTCATAAAGCAAATTGAATAAGCTTGCAAAGCTTTCACGTTATTGAGCTTGTCACCTAAACCGCCGTTGGCCCGCCCCTTGGTCCAAAGAATTTACAACCGTCTCGCTGTTTCGCAGACATATACATAGTATTATAAATGGACTGCCGTGGCGGCAATCGCCTTCAGACACAGCCGTGACCGGCAAGGCTTTAGCCAAATCACGTACTCACCGTGTGTGAAGCAGTGCCAAGGACATTACCTTACCTGACGATAACAGCCATCGTGAGGCCGAGGCTGGAGCAAGCGGGGAATGTCAAGTTCCAGCTCTATGGGTTAGAGTGTGTTACAGAATGTGGGACTTGTAAAGAGGATGCTGTAAATATGTGTGTTATATCTGGGCCAAAGGTGTACCATGTGTGAATCGGATGTGAACCAAGTGTGTTTAAAGCTTGGATGATGTTACATGTTGACGAATGTTGAATGTTGGTGATTGTAGGTAGTCCTCAGGTTAGCGGTGATTTTTTTTTTATACTTGCACGTGACATAAATTGGCCTTAAAGGGCGAGTTACCTTATACCTCGGCAGAGTAGGCTACTTGCCTCTTCAGATAACATGAGATATAACATGCGAATCATATGCATCGATGTAAATATATAAGACAGCGTACAACTAGACAGTACACACATTTTACTGCTTTGACTTTTTTCGAGGAAGAACAAGAGTCCAAGAATCTATGCTGACCTAGCAGATATAGCCTATTTCGTTTTCGATGGTAAGTGCCAGAGTCCTAACCAGCGCAGGAGCATTTTGCCCTAATTTTTAGAGTGTTACGCATGCTAGGACGCAATTTACGTCTCTATTAATAACGTATTTTACCCTTATCTTACTACAGAAGAAACATATATGATGCATTTTTATAAACGATGTATTTTACCTACAATCTTCAGGTCATAAACCATTATGCAGGCGTTCCAGACCAAAAGATCAAGATGTGTAATATATGATGCAGAGCCCTCCACCTTAACATAAACAACATTTCAAAACACGGCGAAAATGTACGCTCAACGCAGAAAGTGGTTAAAATATTTACCATGTCAATTGTCAATCTTCACACAACAGTGTTCATTGTTCAAGTACACGCACATTTGTACGCATAGTTCATCGCGACTAGAAATGCGGCTACTTCAGCGCCCGCCGGCTCATCAGACAACACTTTAGTACATATAACACTCCGCATATAGCCTGCTGGAGATTCTGTCTGACCCCACTTCTACGGCATATTCGTAAGTCGTACTTGTACGACACATTTGTAAGTCGTATGGGTACTTCCACGGCACATTCGTAGGTCGTACCAGTACTTCCACGGCATACTCGTGTATATATCGCACCAATACTTCTACAGCCTACTTCCACCACACATTCGTAAGTCGCACACGTGTAGTGGTCTACATTCTCAACTGGACAACGGATTGTGTTTCCTACAAGAAAACGCCCCGAGGGTCCCGTCGATCAATATATGGGACGGGACGTCTCCCCGAATCAACAGAACAAAATTATTTGGCATACAAAATACAATGCAACTTATACCAAATACCTCGTATCAACACAGAATGGGAAGTAACAGGATGGCACCGTTAGCCTGGTACCGCACCCTGAATAAAGAAGGTCTGAGAAAAATACATAAAAAAAATACCTAATATTAAATTAGTTTTCACTTCTCTGTGTAAAAACAACAAAAGTGATATCAAAAGAGTAAAAAAACCTTTACTTATGTGAGAGAGTAAAAACCTTTACTTATGTGAAAAATGATACGACCATGCGACTATGAATTATAGTCTCTAAAGAAAGACTAGCGCTCTGGCATTTTAGGTACTCGTAAGACGATGGAGTCAAAACACGATCGTAAACATTACAAATATGCATTACAAAATAGCGTGGAAAACCACCTGATGGACGGCAAACAACTACATAACTGCAAGCAACAGTTGGATGGCTAAAGTCAAAAATTATTGAAGAAGCCTTGTTTTAGTTTTCATTTTGAATTGGTAGTTATGTATAATAAAAGGCAATGCGAAGGTATTTATCACTAAAATAAGAACAATTCAACGGTGAAGTCAAACATCTAATTGTGATACCAGCCAACGATATAAATATGCACACATCGATTATCCCGTATCCACTCACAACAGTGAGACTATACCAATTGACAAAACTGCAGTGCCCTGGCCAGCCGCAAACGGAGCCAGAGCTAATGGTGCTGCCTTGTAGGTACGCATGAGGACATACGGCTGTAATACGCAATACAAGCAATAGCATGTCTCCAACTCTACGGTGAGTGGACGCTATGTGATGGGGCGCCTATTAGCAACGTCTGATCTCCAACTCTGTACTGATTCTATAAATAACAGGATGATCTTTAGGTATTGGCTGGTCGCAACCAATCGCTTGAGGTATGATTCTACGTCCTCTGTAAATCTGGCCAAAAACCGCAGGGCGCCTCTTGCTGCGACAAAAAAAAAACAATGTTCATTTAAATGCCTATTGGTCTCCCTGAAGCGACGGAGAAAAAAGCAATAAATTACGAAAGCTGATCATATGTTCTTCCTAGATAAGACAGCGTCCTGCAGAAGGTTGAAAGATAAAGTAGGGGAAGTTGGGGCAATGCCGGAGTTGGGGCAAAGCCGAAATTCGAGACATTTCGAAAACCGTAAGACATGGATGCCACCTGTCAATGATGCTCTGAAGCTTAAGTGACTACAATTATCGCATGTTTGTTACGAGTCGTCATTCGGAATACTTCGGCTGTGAGGGCGCCAAGAGCGTTTTCAAGGTACGCGTTTCTTGTACTACATGCGCCTTTGAAGCTGCATTTCTTACTCATTATGCTACCGTTTGTATGGCCAATTCGGTCAAGTAATCTTCAGCATGTCTTTGCATAAGTGTGCTGCCTATTTGAAATTTATGCGGCACGTTGAAAAGTTATGGGCCTGCAAATGAAAGTATGGCTGGCTGGGGTAATGCCGAAAACGTGCAATTACGCACGTTTTAAAGCACGCTACGTGGACTTTATTGCTGTAGAATAGCAACGCGAATTTTTAGTCACACAAATTACACTTTCAACCGAAACAACGGCCTGTTACCTATAAGGAATTATTTACCTGGCATTTTCTTATTATATCACACAATTATAACTTCCAGTGTGCACCAAGCGTCCTCAAGCTCTTAAAACGCGTGTCAGCTTTGATGAATTCTGGATAAAGTTTGAGATAAAGTGGCAAAACATCAATGTCGGCATTCCCCGTAGATCATTTCTCCCATTTTCGGCTTTCCCCGCAGTCCGGGGCAACGCCGAAAAAGTCACTTCTTTGATATTTTTAGTTTGTGCGCTTAACGGTATGCGAATTCATCAAATGCGCCTGGTATGTTTGTAAGGCAAAAGACTGGCCTCTCGAATGACGCCAACAAGAATAGCTTATGTTGTCTACCTTGCATGCTACGGGCGTCAGAAAAAAAGTATTCGGCGTTCCCCCAACTTCCCCTATAGCTGGGGTCCTTCGTTGTCATGGGTGGAGAATGTTTGAAAAAGTTACCCCGGCCGGCGACCGAAAGTCAGAGAGACGATGATGCTCAAATATTTGTCAACGGTTATCAACAAACCCCTATTCTGTGGCTGATGGAATAATGGATGGCCGTTTGTACGTTTTTATGGAAAATGGCTTTTGATGTAATTATAACAACAATTTTGCAACACGCCTTAAAATTTCGGACGCATGTCACCTAGTGTCAGGTCAGGTCATCAGGTCAAATTTGCTGGATGATCGTGCTAAAAATGTCATCATGCCCTTTGCAAAGCTTATTCCGTGGAAGTTGCAACCTTCCCACACAAAAATGTCAAACTGGACCGTTTAAACACTCTTATTGATTTGAGCTCGCACCTGAAATATTATTAGCGACCGAGTCTTAAACGAGTTATCGAATGTTTTGTTTACAGTGTTTTAGTTCCGTTATGTTCATGAACTGTGAGAAAAGTTGTCGGAGAACGCTAAAATCAGAGAAATTTGGCTTTTGGTGATCTATGGTGGGCTTATTATTGTGCTTGCGCCTAAAAGATGACCACTGACCAGATTTCTCTGATCACGTTTGTCGCTCTTCCAAACGTCGTTCCGCTTCTCGCCTCGTAGCCCAGTAGCCGAGTTAGAAGGAGCGTGAAACGCCCTCCTCTCGACTCAACGTGTTACGATAGAGCCACCACCCTGGCGCGGATTAAGTGGGGGGAGCCTTGAGCCCCAGCAGCTCGTCCTTCTATCTCACTGATATTACCCTCGTTCTGTCTTGTGATGTTATTGCAGTGCCATCTTACGATAACTGCCCTTAAATATGATTTAATTCTGTTTGATGAAACTTGTCGGGCTCCGCGATGAAAAGATTTGAAAACATAGAAGCTCCAAAATGAAAATAAAGTAAATTTTCACAAACTTTTCAAGGTAGATAAGAACAATGAGAGACACTTTTATAGGTGGCAGTTTTTTCGTATGGAGACAGCTTTTAGGATTTACAAAAGTGGAAAAAGTTACCCCGGCCGCGCCGGGGTCGGCTGAAAGTTACCCCGGCCACGGCTGGGGTGGCCGGGGCAGGTTCTCCACCCATGTTCGTTGTAACGTAATTAGTCTTAACGTTTTCCAAAGGCAGCCGTGTGCTTCATTCACCTCCACTGTCGATCTCTCTCCGTGGTGCGGTGACCGTCCGAAGTACCGGTTCCGGCCGGCACCACTAGGTGGCACTCTCGTCGGAGTGCCGCTGGCGCCGTTCGAGACTGGAGTGCACCCAGAGTTGAACGCGGCGCCGTCGTCAGGTGGCGCCCTGGTCGTCGGGCCGGCGCGACATGTCAGACTCCGAGGAGGAGCTGAATGCCGGGGAGGGTACCGCCAGGGAGTACTGGGAGGCGAACGAGGGCCGGCGGGACCCGATCTCCGAGCCTCCCAGACCGACGGCGGCCGTCAGCAGCCGGCTGTTGGAGCTGGGGGACGGCGGGGAGGGCGTCAGGGGGTGTGGTGGAGGGAGAGCGCTCAGTACTCAGTAGCCGGCTGTTGGAGCTGGGGGAGGCAAGGGAGGGCGTCAGTGGTGGGGAAGGAGGGGTCAGTAGCCGGCTGTTGGAGCTGGGGGACGGCGGGGAGGGCGTCAGGGGGTGTGGGGGAGGGAGAGCGCTCAGTACTCAGTAGCCGGCTGTTGGAGCTGGGGGAGGCAAGGGAGGGCGTCAGGGGGTGTGGTGAAGGGAGAGGGGTCAGTAGTCGGCTGCTGGAGCTGCCAGGGACGGCTGGGAGGGCGTCAGGGGGTGTGGTGAAGGGAGAGGGGTCAGTAGTCGGCTGTTGGAGCTGAGGGACGGCGGGGAGGGCGTCAGGGGGTGTGGTGAAGGGAGAGGGGTCAGTAGTGCGGCTGTTGGAGCTGGGGGACGGCGGGGAGGGCGTCAGGGGGTGTGGGGGAGGGGTTAGAAGCCGACTGTCGAGCTGTCGCAGATCGGGGGGGGGGTCAGCAAGTGAGGGTAAAAGGGGAAGAGCACCAAGTCTGGCAAACTAAAGGGGGTGGTGGTGGTCAAACTGAGGAACAAGTCAAGGATCACAGGTCAAAGGCTGCAGGTCACAGGTCAATCAAACTCAGGAGGGTTAGTGAGTTTGAATGGGTTGTGAGGAGATTTCCGTGATTACTAGCTACCGCAGAAAGGGTTCATAAAGTAGCCGATACTATCTAAAACGACCACCGTTTCCATCTCCGGGGTCTCAGTGAGCACCATGAACGGACGATTGGGCCATGAGCTACTCGACAGGCAATCGGACCGGGTCATGAGCTTGGTTTGAGCCATGAGCGCTCCGGAAACCACTCAGTCCAAACCGTAAACCTCCCGAGAAACATAGCTCCAAACTGACAGTGTGTAACAGCTGAATGAATGCCATAAGCAAGTCATGTGTTCACATCTCAAGGCGGAGACATGTGGAATCAAATGTGTGGGCAAATGCCGGCGAGAGTGCAATTAGGGCAAGATAATTGTGAAATGTGAAAAATTCTCATCATGAGATATTTTCGTGATTCGTGATCCTTCCCCTTTTAGTCTGCATGCCATTCATCATTCATTTGCTGCCAATAATTGAGAGCACTTTTAGCATGGTGTGTAATGTCAGATATGCCATGCAAGCGGATTGTCGGTGAAGTTAGTGGATGTGGTGAAGCACATAAATGATTCGGTACACCGACGATGCATGCTGAGTGGTTTCAACATGTTACTTTAAACGCATCCTTATTGAAAATATGTATAGCCTGGTGTGTCCAATTCCATTGATATCAAACTATCGTTAGAAAGATGGTCATGAAAATAGGTACGATATTTTCTTTTAGATGATCTGTAACTCATTCTTTTTAACCGAAACGGTATTTGGCTCCAAAATAAGACAAGTTATTTCCTTTCGCAAATATTCAATGAGCAGCTGGCCAGCATTGCCCCAGAAATGCGTACAAATGAATAAGGAAATAGGGATAGTGCACGGACACCACCCGATACATTTGCTAGTTGTAATGCATGCTTCTTTTTGCATGCGCATAGCAGCACACTGTGCATTTGGTATATGTTCCCACATAGAAATCTGTAGTCTGTATACCAAATTCAGAGGCAGGTATACAGAGGTTTCACAAATGCGTGTTGTGCATGAAAACTTCAAGCAATGCGACTTACATAACATGTCGAAGAATAAATGGCCAATCCTCTAGAATACATCACTGAAAACGATTTTTAAGTTAACTGGCAAGTAGTCAAGTCGCGTGCGTAGCCATGAATGATGAGCAATATCAGGACAAGATATGAATAAAGAAAGTTGGCAGGAAAAAAAGCAGTCGTACGAGCTACATATTTCGGTCGTTCTTAAATTTGTAATAATGCAAAACGAGACGTTGAACGTACAAATGCAGCCGTATGTACCTTTTTTTTAAAGAAATTTTGTCCGAATGGATGAATGGGTGGCTATGGGCCCGGGTGCCCCGCTAAGCAGAGCTTGTTGCGAATGACACCACGGACCCACCACCCCAACTTGCCCGCGCCCGGCTCACCGGTGATAATTTGGATCGAAAGTTTAAAGTGCCGCAGGTAGATGGCGGCACGGTCCTCCCGGGTCTAGCGTGGCCCTCTCTCGCCAGTTGCCAGCTGGCTTAATATAGGAACGCGGGTCAAACGACGTGGAGCTTCCCGGCCGCGAACTCGCTGCCACCGAGTTAGGAGACGGACGCCTTATCCACTAGGCCACGGGGAGGACAAAATAACTAACCTAACATAAATAACTAAATAACATGTCCTCCGAAATGTCCCAAAGGTGGGATAACAATATTAGTCTTACCAAATGGTTGCAACATTTAGCTGCCAGCATTGAAAAATGAGCTGGTCGAGCTAATGAACTGTCAATGCTCAGAAACGTGGGAAGAATACAAGAAGTATGTAGAGGGAACAGCAACGCTAACGGTCGGCAATGGTTTTGTGATCGGCAAAGAGACTTGAGATACCCTTTTTGTCAATTCTGTGGTCAATCGTTGTTGAGAAGTTGTTAACCAGTGACTCTAGTTAGCTTTCTTGCCCACTGGTGAGCCATTACCCGTTGCTCTATACACCCTGTCATTCCCCACACCGTGCCCACTGCCCAATCATCAATCAGTCTCACCTGTTGACGCGGCTGGCTATGTCGTCAGAGCCCTCCTTATCCAACAGCTTCTTCTCCAGCGACGTCACCCGCTGCTTCATCTTCTTCTGGGACGACGAGTACTCCCCCAACAGACGGGCGAAGCGCGTCTGCAGCTTATCCAACATATCCTCTGTGGGTGGCGCACGTCAGCATGAATCGCAACATAATCACGTCATGCCGCTTTTTGCTCGCATCAATAATCGTCCCAGATCATCATGTGGAGCTGGAATATCAGCAGGCTTCATTACGGATTCACAGATCGGCATTACCGCTCGAGTGGATCGCTGCCTGGCCATACATGAAGCGTGTCCGATGGGACAGATGAAAATATGTGCTGTATTCAATATCTACAGTTATGAGATGAAGCGATCCGCTGCATAAAATATCGGCTTAATTATTCTATTACATGATTACGCTCCGATTTGTAATTGCCGCCTTGCATGAGCCTTTTTATCATTGCATTCGACAACATCCCACTCTCTGCTCTAGGCTGATGCGTAAGGGTCGATATTTTCATTTCCAACTGCAGGATTTCGTAGACACATTGAGCCTTGTTTTGATCGTGATTAGCATATATATCGTGAATAGCGTAACACTTACCAAGCTTTTCCACCTGCTGTTTCGTGGTCAGCTGCTGCTCTTCCGCTGCCTTTAGCGCGTCCTCATCCAGCAGCCCGTCCTTGATGAGCAGCTGCCGACCCTTCTCTATAAGGCTCTTGTAGGCCTCCGGGTAGTCGTTCAGTGTGTTCCACAGGTCGTCCTTGGAGAGACAGAAGAGGTCCGAGTAACCGACGCTCTTGACATTGGCCGTCCTCCGGTTCCCGATCTTGTTGCCGGCTATGTTCATGATGCTCACCTCGCCGAAGACGCTGCCGGCCATCAGTGTTGCGAACACGGTCTTCCCGTCGTCCGAGACCACGATCACCTTTCCGCGTTTGATGATGTACATTTCCTTGCCGACGTCGCCCTTGCGACAGATGTAGTCGCCCGGACTGAAGACCTGCAGCTTCAGCTTCAGCACCAGTTCGACCAGCAGGCCGGGCTCGCAGTCCTGGAACAGTCGCACCTGCTTCAGCGCGTCCAGGTGCACGTGGATGGCAATCTCGGCCTTCAGCTTGTCCGGCAACGTCGCCAGGATGTCCTCCTCGTTGAGGGACTGTTTGTTGGACCAGAGGTAGTCGAACCACTCGATGACACGTCGCTCCAGGTCCTTGCCGACCTTCCGAAACTCCATGTACTGTTTGACGCTGTCCATGCGGTTCTGGAACTCTGCTCTGGATGCGTTCATGTTTGTGATCATCGAGCCCACATTACCGACAATCGTGGCGAAAATGAGCACTCCGGCGAGAAAGTCGAGCGTCACGAACACATACTCGACGTCCTCGACGGGCTGCGGCGTCTCACCGATTGTAGTCAGCGTCAGCGTTGACCAGTAGAAGCTGTAGATATACTGGTGCATCAGTGTGCCGTTCACACCAGGTGTGATGTTGCGGTACACCCACTGATCGGTGCCAAACCCGATGGCGTAACTGAGCGCAAAGTACAGACATGCGTTCCAGTGGATAAGCACCAAGATGTACAGCACCACCTTGCTGATGCGGAAGGCGTTGGGGAAAATGGTTCGCGTCTCGGTGCGGTCAAAGTACTCGCTCATGCGTGGGTAGCGCAGCACGCGGTTGATGCGCACGATGCACGGACAGGGTACGTAGTAGTAGCACTCGGTACCCAGATACAGGTACAGCAGGTCGGTCGGTAGCACAGAAATAATGTCCAGGATAAAGTGCACCGATCGCACATAGTTCAACCGCAGTTTGCGGGCGTCCCGCACCACCAAACCCTCCTCCAGATAGCCTGAAACACATAATAAATAGTCATTGGTCATATCATTACACATTTAGGCATACGCCATTTTTTTCGAGATTTTCATCTTTCAGAACATTTTTATTGCGAAAATGAATAGTTCGCCCTATCTCTATCGACCCAAAACCTGGCAAATGCCGAATGATAAAAGAGCAACTATAGGAGACCTCCGATGTTCAACAGTATTTAATTATTTTTTTATTACATTGTGCATTCCCGCAGTCGCGAAGATCTTTTCTACCACTCTGAGACCCCTCGTCAAATTGCTTACTTTCGTGCGCCTTTATGGCCATATCTAACAGATAGATGCTATCACAGATGTAGTCGAGGGTGAACCAGACCCGGGGCGCCAGGTTCTGCAGCTCCCAGAACACGGTCCTGCCCACGATGACCAGCACGTTGTAGAGGACTGCCACCGTCACCACCCCAAGCCACTGAGGGAATTAAGACACACGCACGGTCACACCAAATGGCAAACCAGTGGCCGTCTGGAAGGGAAGGTGCAGGATATGTCGGTAATGAAATAACTCCTTATATGCTTATCTGTACTTTTTTAAACGGTTCCCAGACATCAAACGTGATGCATCATTGACCAAATGCATCTCTCCTTAAAGTGCGTGTTTCTGCTTTCCGTTGTCCTGGTCACTGCGGGAAACATTTCGAACATTGTCTGCAGAGCCGATCTGAGCCGAGATCGATGCCGCTTATGATAGATTTGTGTACAGTCCGTGCCTCACGGTATCCACGGCAACGGCGGCGACGCAGAGGACTTTGCCCAGAAGGCGTATCGTTTTTGTCTTTTCGGTTTTACTTCTCATTCGCGACTCGATTGAGCCATTTTATGAAGTACAGATGACTAATCCGTTGTGGAATGCTAGATTTGTGTGCTCCGACGTCTTCGATTGAGTGTAAAATTGAGGATTAGTGAAGCATTTCCGAGCACGATGCGTCCATAAGTTCTAAGTTTTATCCCAGCATCTGTGGACCGGGTTCTTTCAGCTCGGTGGTTACACATACTTCGTGAGCTCCAAAGTCGCTTTACAGTACCCCTTAAAAGTCTGTGAATAGCAAGGGTCATCCGTAAGTGTACCTTAATTCAGAATCATTGTAACATGATTTTGACAATTGACCACATCTAAAAAAACTCAAACTGACAAATCGACCATTAATTGGAAGTTGCCGACGGCCGGTGTCTCACCCGGTAATGGAACGGTTTGGCCTTGTTGATGACCAGGTGCCCGGAGGTGAGGCCGTAGCAGAGGGTAGCTCCGTCGGCGTCGGCCGGCGGGTCATTGGTGCCCCCGCCGGCCATAGTGAACTTCTCCAGAAACGAGTCCGGCCGCTCATCCTCGCTCTGCTGCGACCGACGCTTGGTCCACGACTGGATCAGCTGCGGGGAGAGAGCAGGGTTATGAGAAACGGTCCCGTTTGGATCACACATTTGGAATTTGGATCAACTGCAGGGAGAGAGAATAAAGTGGTTGAATTAAAACGGCTCTTTACCCAAGCTTCGCTAGTTACATGCAACACATATTGTAATAATTTTATGTATGTAGTTGCCCACTTCATCTAACCCTAGACAGGAAATTTATCTACATAAATACAATAAGTAAGGTCCCCCTCTTTGTCAATTTATCTTTACATACATTCTCCAAAGCAGCTATCAGCTGGCTGACAATTTCTGGCACAGCAAGGCGAACTCGACACACAGGATCACGGCCCGCTGACAGACTGACCTTTCTGATTCGAAACAGGGAGTTGGCGCCCCTGGCCATGCCGCCGGCCGGGGCCATCTCCGTGTCGTCGTCGATCTTGAGCTGGCCGATTTCTGAGTCGGTGTCCTCGGCCAGACTCGGGTGGTGGCTGGCCACGCTCCGCGAGCTGCGCGCACTGCGGGTGGACGTCCACGAGCCGACCCGGCCCTGGCGGCACACACGGGTCATCGGTCAGGGGGCTGACATCACGGGTAACGTGGTGAAGGTCAGGTGGCCTGAGCCTACAGTTCCGCGTAGAAGGTCAGCAGGTCCGAGCCCATAGGAAGTGGGTAAAGATCAATAGGTGCAACTCCACAACTCATGGGTTGATGTCGGCAGACCGAGTCCAAAGGCTAGGGTTGAGTTCAGGTGACACACACTGCACAGTGCACACTGCACAGGTCATAACTAGTCAAATGTTTCCTGGTCCTACAACACAGGACATGGTAAATGGTGCATCTTAAATCGTTGCCGGTCACAGATTGTTTTCCGTGATACCAGTTAGGACCAAGGACCTGCGTATTTTCCGAGGACCTGTAAAAGCCAGGCGATGCCAGCAGTCGGAATTGACGTTCACATTCATTTTCCTTATTTGCTTTCAGCTGATATTGCGAAAATAAGGTGGCTTCTATGCTACCTCTTCTCGTTATAAACCCTTCTTTTAAATTAACGGGCTCAGCGAAATTGTTTCAGACCATTGTAAATTGCACAGTCAAGCTGGTGAACGGAACGTTTCATAAATAAGCTAAACCATGGGACTCTTACTTACTGTACAAGAGCAAAGACGAACTACCATTTTACGACCAATTAAGTGATGCTATCTTCATGAACACCTCATATTTTCGTAATAACGCAGAATGCCGTGTGGTACCCATTCAGTTCTATTGTAAACATGATGTGACTGATGAACGTCAGTGACGCTTGATTATAAACTTATCAAAACCAATTAAAGATGACTAGTTCAGAAGGGTGAATACTGAACATGCGACACGCATCAAAGGCCGTTTTGTACCCAACTATTTACAGGTATCGTCACAATAAGGTAAATACCCTACCAAAGATTTTATAGTAGCAATTGCTTGCCTTGGATATTAAGATTATCAGAGTAAACTTTAATTATATCACACAATCAATTCAATCAATGCTATTGTACAATGTAAGTATTAAAGGGACCCTCCCACCTTCAAAAAAGTTAATGAATTGGCATGAAAGTGATGTCGCTCGGTTTAGAAAGAGCAAAAACGAATATCTACCAAATTTCATCGAAAAATATTCACCGGTTTTCAAGATATTAGACTTTTACTTTTGTTTACTTTTTGGGATCTCCGCTGTTCCTAGCGACTTTATTTGAAAGTGCGGCATTTGTTGCGCGCAAAGCAGCATATACCACCGCGTGCTACAAAACGTTTTAGTCAAACATTTAACGGACGTTCGAAAGCCTGATGACGTCATCAGATTCCCGTAATGGTTAAGAGATAGGGACCACGCTGGTCCCACCCTGCAAGTAAAGGGAAGAAATTTCTTGAACACCATAAAGCTGCGGGGGTTGCGGCCAGGATAAATGGTGGTTTCTGAGCCTGGCCGCAAACTTGGCTATCTCAACTCAAAACTAATGTTAAGGTGGGAGGGTCCCTTTAAGCGATAGGTTTTGCCTTTTCACATTTCCAGCTATATCTCAGAAACTAATCGATTTACGATGAAGCCATTTTAGAGGATCATGGCAGGTATGCGTACAAATAAATCGATCGCATCTTCAACCCTTAAAAGCTTAAGACGAAGAAAGTATCGTCGGAAATTTACTAAATTTCATGAGAGCAAAAACTACCGCTAAAACCCGTGAAACCTGTACATCCTATCGAATTTATCGGAATGCTAAAGCATGATAATTCGCAAACGCCTCGCCACAATGACTTTTAGTTAAGTGAGAAAGGCGAAAGCGAAGGAGTGACTAGTTTCATTAGATGGTCTCTGCCCTATACAATACCACAGTTTAGCAATTCAATTAAGAGCGAGTCACACTCACGCTGACGTCATCAAATGACGACTCTCTTGGATGCGCTTTATCAGGTTGGGTGTCCGGTGAATCGTGCGACACCATCAAATAAATGGCCCACACTCATCGCTTGATTCGAGCTAAGTTTTCAAGCTAAGTTGGTGCTCGAGTCTACCTTGATAGGGAAGTCTTTCTCGAACTATAGGATGGCCTTTTCTCGGGAAGCATTTGCCCGCCGACTGGACGTGTGTGACATATAGCTGAGGCCTGTGGTTGAACGATACTCGTGGAGCTGGCCCGTTTTGTGCTGCTTTATGCCATCCGTAATTCATTCATAAATCACATCGCAAGAAAACCACCCACTGAAATCCTGCACCTGCATTCAATCACTTTGTTTATCCGAAACCATGGATTAAACTTAAAAAAGAGTTTAATCCATGGCACGATAAGCATGGTACCTTTATCCCGGCTCAGACACTTACGAATGAGCCGGGATAAAGAAGATGTTATAAGCATATCCGCGACACGAATATGTTGCTTATGGTTATTGTTGGTGTTTGTTGCTGTTTAACTGTTAGTGTTTTTCGCTAAATAATGCTGATGAGGGTTTCGTGCCCTGTGTAGCTTGGTTATTCATATATGATAATCTCGCAGAGCATAACTGTGACCAGTAAATGCAACAGCGAATAGTAACTTACCTATGGATGCTGAATCATCCTTGCCATAAACTGCGGTATACAACGACTTTCTTCGTCAAAATGGCTTGTCAACGCTTCATTTCATTAGGATCTACATTTTCTCAGTTTGAGTGGATGTAAAGCAATGTCTGAATCATAGTTAATCGCAGGAGTGCCTCTTTATGATTGACAAATACTATCTCACATCGTCTCTCCCTCACACCGGACACTGCATCACCAGTACCACCACAAACACCACGGGCCCCAGTATCGGACCCTCAGCGACCCCGCACGCGTCAGCGCTCTGATACGGTGCAGTCTCCACTGACCGTGTCAGGGGTGACCAGAGGACTTCTCAGACGGTCCCGGCCTATATGAACTATCGACCCCGGTCTGTGGGCCGGCACGCGACCCGTGCCCGGCACGCCATCAGAGGATGCCCGCCGCTCAGCGGCTGTCCATCGCCCCTCCGGAGAATGACGCAATACCAGGTATTCAGCTAGCGTGACCGGTTCACGGAAACGATACCACCCGGGTACAATTTGTCCCGCGCGGCTCAGGCTTCAGTCGGGTTATTCAATGAAACTGATTGGTCTTGAGTTGATTCATCATGCTCCTGCTCAGAAATACCGATGATGTAATACTAATGATGCAATAAATTGTAATTGTACATAAAAAAATGTGATCAATTATTGAGCTTTCAGGCTAAAGGTTTTGATACCAGAATTAAAAGGCCAGACATTGAACTTTAAAGCCATCAGTGAAACAAATTTGGTTTTACGCCTTACCGCGCAGATACCGTAACAAACGGCCTAAATGCCATTATGTTTACTTCTTTCTTAGAGTGCTTTGATTATGCACCTTAGCAAAGTTACTAAGGCATGCTCCTACCAGTAGGGGAGAGTGGGGTAAGATGCCCAGGGTGGGAAAGACGCCCCACCCCCTCTAGCGGCGAAACAAAGAATTGAACCCGGAAATTAATGTTCTTAGCGTAAAGCGGAAGCCTGCCTTGTTAACTGCACAAAAATTTGCGAAGCTCAGTTGGGCAACGGCTGGCTGGTGAATGCATGTTTTTTATTTGCTGCCTTCGAAAAATATTTTGGTGTCAAAACATTGTAAATATCAAAGAAGGTAGATAATTTTTGCGTCCCTTGCTATAGTCGTGATACATTAACATGCGTGTTCTGTGTCCCAAACAGTTTGTTTCAGGGTGTAGTTTTATGGCTAACAAATTGTACTGATTTAACCCTCGCCGGCCGAGGGAGGGGGGGCGGGTGCCGCCCCCCCATAGGTTTTTTTCGCGATAGCTCCGAACACGCTGGCGATAGAGAGCTGAAACTTGGCATACCTGACCTTTGATCCAAGCCGCATCTTTTGACACCAACCGCATTTTTGGGTCAGGTCAGGTCACTGACCTATGACGTCATAAGTGAACCTCTGCACGGTCTTCAGATGTCGCAACTTCGCAACGCCCTCACTGCCAGAGGAGATGTCACAGGGAAATGAAACTTGCAGGATCTAGTATCCATTATGAGTCTCACAACTTGTATATCTCGGATTTTTCCTAAAGGTCATATGAGGTCAGGTCATTTTCGTGACCTCACCATTATAAGTCAATGGGGAAAAATGAAAACTGCTATTCTGGCGCCGGGAACGATCTCCAACTATCTCAAGCACACAGAATCGTGATTTGATGCACCTCTTGCAAGGTTAGATGCGTCACTTTTGCAATGTTGACCTTGCGTGACGTCATTTATGACGTCATCAAGGTCATATTAGTTTTTCGTCAATAACTCTTGATCAAATTGAGCTAGCGAGTCGAGAAAGCCACCAATGGACTCAGGAAGACCTGCCGAATCGAATGATATGCGATATGACCTCTTTCGACCAACTTCGTGACCTGGGGGTGCTGACCTGACCTTGACCTGAGGTCAACACCCAAAGTTGACCTGACCCGGACAAAAAGTATATCATTCGACGCGCCTGAGCGAGGCGAACACGATGCTGCCAAAATCGCGGCTCTGCGGCCGTTTTTTGCGAAGTTATTCACCAAAAACTGAACCGTACCCTGGGGCACTTGACCTGACCTCAGAGGTCACCGGTTGACCTAGGACCTTAAAATCGGGTACCAATCTCTGCGTCTCGTAACGGCGCACACGCTCGTTTTTTCCGCGACGCGCTAGCTCCACCAGGGGCGAAACGGCGAGGGGGGGTCGTACCCGCCCCCCCCCCCCTCGGCCGGCGCGTATGTAGAAAACCAATAGGTCCGGCGAGGGTTAATGTTACTTCGGTACCTTGGGGTAAGATGCCCCCTGTCCTGATGGGGAAAGACGCCCCCCTAAATCCGTAGGCTGTCCTTTAAGCAGCCCGTCAAATCATTTATTACATAGTAATTCGTATTCGTATTTATTACATGCTTGTGATGAGAGACAAAAGCCGGTCTGGGACTATTGAGAGTCCAGTACGGTCGGGTGCTCCCCATGCCGGTCTCTCGGCCCACACAGCGACTTTTTGGGCGGCATCTGACTCTGAGAGCCCTCATGACGGCCTCGGTGGGCCCCATTATTGGCTTCAGGGCCCCTCACGACATCCTTTGAGGGCTCCCACGTTGGCTCCACGGGCCGCGCTGGCATCTGAGGCCCCCACGATGGGCTCGAGGGCCCTCAAGCATCATGAAGACCTATAAGGGCCCCACAGTGGTCTCCGAACGCCACCACGGATGCTTGTTTGGCCGCGCTGGACTATGATGACCCTAACGATGACCTCTGAAGCCCCTTACGACCACTTTTGAGGGCCCTTACGATGACGTTTGGTGTCTACTGCAGGCTCGAAGGGACTACTGAATCGTTCAGGCGATTCACGTGCCCATTTATGTCACTTATAGTGCAGGGGGCATCTTCCCCAACGCCAGGGGGCGTCTTTCCCACCCTGTGGGGTAAGATGCCTTTGACTTCTTCAGGAAAATGCTTAACAGCAAAAAAGTTATCATATTTCAGGCACGAAAGTGTGATATTTTTGGAGAAAAAGGATGTCGGCTTCCGTTGAAACTCCAAGATTTTACTTTCCGATCGTCATTTTCGAATAATATATGACATAGGTAAACCCTGGGCATCTTTCCCCACTCTCCCCTACATACCTATAGCAATAAACTAAACAGTCGAAAACTAAGAGACCTGAGAAACTGATATTAGGGTGGATTCGGCTTAATCTGCTCTTGTGTTTGCATAATTAGTCACGTAACATGTGTGAATCACTGAAACAAGTTATACTTTTGATTAAAAATGCATAATCAGACCATACTCTCCTTAGTCTTATTGTTTCTGCTCAGCCACCACAGCGCCCCCCCCCCACCCCCCTCCGCTCGGCGTCATCTCGGCTCTACTCCCTCCACTCCCATCGCTCCCCTCCGCTCCCACTCCTCCCCTCCTCTGCGGACTTACCAGCGTGCCGGCCTCCTCGGCGGCCACCCGGTTGCGGCGCGCGGCGGCCGCTCGGGACGGCGTGGCACGCAGAGAGTTCCTGTGCTTGTGCTGAGGTGTGGTCGGCTGTGGCGTGGTCGGGACGGCCGACGGCAGCCGTGGCGACAGGCCGCCGCCCTCCACCAGCGTCATGGCAAAGTCTCGGTACTTGGCGGCGCGTCTCAGGGCTGCGTCTCTGGGGGAGAAATATGGGGGAGGATCAGAGACTGCACAGAGCTGCGCCTGAAACACTGTAGATTCAGATCTGGGTCTCACAGATAGAGCTGTCCTCTGTTTTTCCGCATCAGCCATCCAAATCCTTGATCACAATTTCCCATTAGGGACAGACACACTTCCCGAACTTTGTCCGTGGGTCACGTTAGTAGCAACGAGCGGAAGAAGGCGCTCGGTGGTCGCTGATCAGAAAAAAAAACTTCGAATGCTCGCAATCTCGCTAAACATTAGTTTGAAAGTACTTCAGTGGCTCTAGGTTTTTGAAATACGAGGATTATAAGATATTTTCACGATTTGGTACATCTTTATCACCTAACACCATACCCCTTGAATATCGTACAAGGTATATCTAAAAAATAAACAGAAAAGTAGAGAGAATTTTGACAAAAAGCGTCATTTGATTATCGCCACACATTACAATCTGCAACCACGAGCTTCCATAGCCCACGAGCTGAGATTATTCCGCAAAATGAAGTTGCTGAAGCGCCAGCACAAAGCACCCTCATTTATCAGGAATTGATGATGGATGAGTGTGAAAGATAACTTTTATTATACGGCTCATGAGCGTAGATTGCCTCAAGCTAACAAAGCTCGGCTGTTTTCTTCCTGTGAGCGATATAGCTCCGCTGCCTGTTATCACGCCTCTCCGGAACAATCTCCCATCGAGGAGCCGAGAACTGGCGACATAAATTACAGAGCACTTAGCACGCTTCCTTTTAGACTTTAAAGCAGCCAGATAGTTCCTCTTCGGTCACTAGCTGAAGCTTGTCTTTGGAAAAGCGTTCACTGTGGATGAACGTGATGACATTGATGTTCATACAATCGCACTATTAATTCTGAATTTTCATGCCATTTCTTCGTGGCAGACATGAGACGCTATAAAAGCCAATCTATCCAAACAGGCTTGTTCTTAGCATTAGATGCAGAAAGCACGAGCTTGAATCTCATCTAGGTAGCAGAGGTCTCAGCGTCGTACAGTGTTTCGCTAAATTATTTCAATCCGTTATCCGTATAGTTTTGTCTCTGCTGAAGTAATGTGCACCATGGCATCTGCATAAATAAAGACCCTGAAATGAAATCATGATTTGTTACGCCAAGCAATATAAATGTTTGAGTAATTTACAGGCATGCGTAATCGATAGTGCTTAACCCGGCAGTTGCTGGGGTATTTTGCCACCCACCGTTTGCTGGGGGGGGGGGGGGGCGTTAAACGCCCCCAGCCGATAACTCGAGAACCAATAGGCGCAGCGAAACGCACGAGGCGGCAAACGAAAGAGCGCGACGAGACGCTTCAGATGAGTACTTTAAAGTTGAATTTTGAGGTCACAGGTCGGGTCAAGGTCAGGTCAAACACCTGAAATCGGGCTTTCAGTAGCATGGACTTCAGGACTTCGCAATGGGCGCCTCTCGCCATAAACTCTGTCAAAACGGTGCACAATCCATCTTATAAGGCCTACAAGAGTATCAGCTTCATATAGGGGTCAGTCAAGCATAGGTCAGGGTCAAGGTCAGGTCAACCGGGTAGGCACATATCCCCGAAAATCAAAACTGATATTTGCAGCCTGTGACACATATTTAATAGGTAATTTGGGGCGTAGAACACGATGGTGACACTCATTTTATCATATGTGTACGTGTTTGGCTTAAAAAGTTCAATTTAAGAAATTCATGTATCATGGTCGTGAAGTAGTCACGAAAAATTGCCAAGATTCAGTTCAAGATTTTGGAAAATGCGGAACGATAATCAATAATCGAAGATAGCCATTTGATTGATCATGGTATTGGCAGTCTAATGGCATTTACGGCATGTCTGTATGCCTATTCTGTGATTTTATATGATTTTTTGAACATATGCCGTTTTTGATCGAAAACTCAGAAATCATGACGTCACTAAAACCTCGATATCTCAAAAATTTTCCGACCGATTTTTTTGAAACTTTGTCACAATAAACTTCAATCAATTCCCTACAGGTACCAAAATTTGGCGCGCCTGAGGCGCGCCGTTTTTATGCTATGGCCCGGCGAAAAAAGTGGGGGCGTTTAACGCCCCCCCCCCCCCAGCAACTCGCGGGTTAATGTCATTGATCAGCATTGAATCAAATACATTTTCTGGAACCATGAAGGAACGACCTACATCCCGACAGGCATTCCATGTAGTGCAGTTTGCTCCACAAACGTCCTAACATTGCCGATAATATACCGCCTGTTTTGACGTTGTTCCGCATGACAAGCTGCTAGAAAAGCTGTCTCTCTACGGCATCACTACCAAATGGTTCCGTGACTATTTGGCCGACCACGCGCAGCAGGTGCAGGTACGGTGCGCAGACGGAAGGATGCTACTTTCTGATAAAAAGAGCAATGTGATCGGTGTATACCAGGGCGGCGCCCTCAGTTGTATTCTGTACATGCTGTTTGCGAACGACCTTAGCTTGCATGTGCCGGACGGTGTTAGTGTTGTCCAGTATGCTGACGACACACAACTGATAGTGACAGGCAGAAAGTGTGACTTACCGCAGCTCGTCGCCCGTATGGAGCACGCACTCGACATGTTGTACCAGTGGTTTTGCTTCAACCGGATGAAGCTCAACTCCAAGAAGACGCAGATGTTAGTGCTAGGTACCCCCTCAATGCTGCGCAATGTACCACCTGTGACGTTGACCTTCAATGGAGATGTCATTCCAGACTCAGGAGTAGTTAAAAACCTCGGTGTTCAACTTGACAGCAGGGATGCGGAGCCGTGGAAATTTCAGACGGCTCCGGCTCCGGCTCCGGCTCCGGAGAAAAAAATCGGCTCCGGCTCCGGCTCCGGCTCCGGGAGAAATGTTATGGCGGCTCCGGCTCCGGCTCCGGCTCCGAGTAAAATGGTCCGGCTCCGGCGGCTCCGGCTCCGGCGGCTCCGGCTCCGACTCAGTACATCCCCTATGCAATCAAACGGGTGGAAGAAAAATTGGATTGGTTATACGCGTTACTCTTTGCCATAACCGGCTCACCGCGTCCCCGCGCGAACGCACCTCGGAGACTGGAGAGAACTGGCAGAACAAAGGACTAGGAAGCGATGGCATTGGAAAAGCAGTCGCCGCGAATCGGAGTTCACTGAGCCATCGTAAGCTGACACCCGTCTCGGCTGCATTGGGGTGGGGGTGGGGGTGGGGGGGGGGGAAGAGACGGTGCTGGGAGTCTCAGTCCACTGCACTGGCTTGAAAACAATGGCCGTCACCTGATGACCGGTCCTCATGTTCTGGGGATGCAGTAGACGTGTGGGGGGGGGGAGGGGGAAGCAGACAGGAAGTTGATTGCATACTGGGGATATTCGGCTTTTTTCATTCACTTGATGGCCCATGACGTAAGTTAAGTACCATATGTTTTACTGCCTTGTACTGTCAAACCGAACTAGGTCAATTATTTTTTCCTCTTTAAAAAATAAAAAGGAGCCGGAGTCGCCCCCTTTTTTGGCGGCTCCGGCTCCGGCTCCGGCTCCGGGCTATATTGTTTCACGGCTCCGGCTCCGGCTCCGGCTCCGGGCAAAATATGCCGGCTCCGGCGGCTCCGGCTCCGACTCCGGCTCCGGCTCCGCATCCCTGCTTGACAGGCATCTAAATTTTGAGGCTCAGATAGACAATATGTCCCATAAGTGCGCCGGTATTCTGATAGCCCTAAGTCACGCACGTCACGTCATACCTAGACCTGTGTTAAAGGGCATCACAGAAGCTCTAGTGTTATCCATTGTGCGCTACTGCATGTCGGTGTATGGGTCTTGTACTAGCACACAGCTGCACCGTGTACAGAAGACCATCAACTTCTGCGCACGTGTCGTGACCGGGAAAAGGCGATGTGATCACATCTCGGGTGCCATATCGAGCCTCGGCTGGCTCACGGCCGAACAGTTGGTGGCTTACCATACCTTGTGTGCAGTCGTGCGGACGATGAAGTCAGGTCATCCGGACTTTCTTCTTAAGACCTTCGGACAGCGAGCCCACCAGCGGCATGATCATAACACCAGGCGAGCGGACTCGTTTACCCTTCCGGCCATCCGTGTGGAGGCCGGCAGGCGGCGTCTCTGTTACCGCGGTGTGTCGCTGCTGAACGACAGCGGCATTGAGCCTGGCACTTTGTCTTTCCGGGCAGATGCCAGGCTGTTCGCTGGATCTCTCTGATTCACGATATCGTTTCTGGTGCGAGTGTATGCATGGTATGCGAATGTTTGTAGTCATTTCCGTGTGCCTGTTCCAACTTCCCATTGTATTACCATTCAGACGCGAGTAAGTGAAAAGCCATGTAATCGTGGATCTTATTCAAATAAATCTGTTCTCATGTTCCCGCCAGGCACTCAGCGCAGAGTGCAGTGACGGCCCCATTAGACGCATTTCTCACATGAGTTCGTGGCGCGATAGGTACTGACGGCAGTCCGGGCTCAAAAGTCGGCTGCTCAGGACGAGCCATTGCCGGAACCTGCTCCTCCGGGCCCGGCGGCACTTAACGATAAAATCAATTCCCGTGGCTGTCAAATGCAAAATGGGTGTAATCATAAACGCTCCTGCCTGGTGGAACGGCCCATTAGTCGGCCAGCGTCATTAACTATGCAGAGAGCGGGGGGCAGGTCCGCTGTCGGATATACGACCAGGGCAACAGGCTGCTGCACAATCCACGTGACCCATTTGAAGAGGGATGGGGTTGAAAAGCTTGATTTACAGTTATTTTACAAGCGGTAAACTAATAGCCCCTGTCTGACCTCCGACGGTAGATAGATGAAAGCAGGCATCGATGATGAATATGTTTAGCTGAGTGGATTATCGTTCCTGCCTTAGCAAAAAGACTTAGCAAAAAGTCCCAAGCCATTCAAACAATAACTAAGTACCTAACTGCAAACACAACCTGCAACAGCGAAGTTACTCCATACATTTTCTTTAGAGAAGACAGAGCATTTCTAATCGACAAACACTCTAATTTTTCTGAAGTTGAGCCACGCACAATAAATGCCTCGGACTATTCGCTGAGACAATCTATATTCCATATTCGGTGCTGTGTAGAGGCGACGGTCGTTGGTAATTGCAGACGCACACAACATATAGCTGTCGCTTGGATCAGGCGCACAATGGGATGTGCACAGTCCGTGACATGTGTGCACTGGACTGGGGGCTCAGGCACGACTGTTGACTGCAAATGCGCAGGACTGCCGCTCGATAAACGAGCCATGATAACAAACGGAACAATGATGTGGATATGTATGCCCTCCGTAAAAGTGCCTGCCTGCATGCTTACCTTTGTGCGTTCATTGTGTCTGATATCTACCACATAGAAGTCTTTTAAGTATTGAATTGATAGTAACGATTGTTTTAAATTATCGCCGACATTGTGCCGTTATTTGCGTGACATATGCCTTGGACTTACCTCAATGCAGTATAATGCTTCTGTCTGATATAATCTGTCTCACGTGAGTGTGTTGAACAGTTAAACCATGGAACTGCAATAAACTGTGCAGCACAATGCAGCAGAGCTTTGCTGCCATAGGTGGAGTACTAGGTTCTGACGGGAAAGAATAAGCCTCGGCCCTACAAGGGTGACAAAACATGACAAATACATGATTACAGACACTGGAATACCCGTCGCGACTCACCGTAGCTTTGCTGCCGAAACCCAGCTGCCACCTCCCCAGGCTGCAGCTGCACCCTCACTCGATCGTCACTTTAGCCTGGTACCTCGCACGAGACCAAACCGAACACTATGCAGTTCGCCCCTCTCACATTCCCTATGCCAGGCAGATTTCCGCTCTCGAAAACTAAGTCTCGCGGACCCGCAAGAGCTGATGATTATTCCTGCAGGCCGTCACGACAACGCTATCTTCACGTTTCACAGACACTCAGCTGAATACGTCACTCAGCTCAACTCAGTACCACTTAGACATTTAAAATAAGCGCACACAATGTAACAAAGTTGACCAAAATGTAACCGATCCACGCGCGATCGTCGCCCGATCGGCTCCTCTCCCGACTCGCCGTGCCGCTGCGCTCGACTAGGCTGGCGCGGGCGGCGCGCGACCACCGAAGACCAGTGCAGTCGGCGTGACCCGCAGCTCGGCCGCCACCTCCGCCTCCGCCGGCGGGCCGCAGTTGTCATGACAGCACAGGGGCGCACCTCTGACCGTGCCGGTGACTCGCCAACCATCGATCCGCCACCGGTGTGCTCATTGGTCGCCCGGTGAGCCCGCAGCCACTCGGTTTGCCGAATGAGTGATTTTGTGAGTGATTTGGCAATGATCTTCGGCCAATGCGGCTTAATGATGTGCATTGAGTGATGTATGGCCAGAGAGGTTATCATGATAAGTACCAGAGACGTTTTGTCGTCAGTAATCATGGCTTACCACCCGGATGATGATGTGCCGCCTTGTTTCAATATCGTTAGGGCACACTGACTTCGTGTGACAGCATAATTTCTGAGAAGGATAAAGCATCCTTAGAGGCCTATACCATTTACCTCCCATACACCCTCAGCTTTGCCTATTGAGGTTCCGTGGATGATTATCAATCAAAGCACGTATGAGGACTAGGGAAACTGGCAGCTCAATTAAGCCATTCAGTTGAACCAGAAAATGCAGCAGGTCACTTGTTAATTGCACCCACAGACACCACGAAAATAATGGAGAGTTGCTCCACAAGTGCATGCGTCCTATAGTGGCTGACAGAAGCTATGCAGCGGCATATGTTTATTACCGCTCTCTCGACCAAGTTATGTTAGTCACAGAAAGATCACCTTTCCCGGCCGCCTACGGTTCAAGCAATTGTCGATTTTTTTCAGTTTCATACTGCACGTTCGTAGCGGGTCACATTCTTGCACGTTCGTCAAAATGATAGAAGTGACATTGAAACAAAGAAGGAAAAAACATGAGGCGAAGACGTGCCACACAACTGTTAGCACCATGCCCAAAATTATGTTATAATGTCGTTGCCCTTTTCAGATAGAAAAAAATATATATTGGCTCCCTAAACTCTTCGTAGTTTATAATGAATAATATGCTTCTAGTTATTGAGTATCCATGACAGATTGGATAATGATGTAAATAATAAACCAATTAATACAAATCAAATATATTCAAAATACACAAAGCTTTCGGCTTAAACAGCCTTGATCACTGTGAGTTGTGACAATGTATAATCGGTACAACACAAATATTCGCAGTAACCGTCTAAGAATTCTTGAAAATAATGAATCGCGTGTTTCTTGTTTTACTAGCCAACTGCCGATTTTGCTGCCATCGATGACCAAGTAATGAATCCATTTCTACTGTTGAATGTGTCCCGTGTGATAATATGAGCCGCTTCCAGGATCTTTCTCGTTGATTTCTTCATGTTCTTTTCTAATATTTTCGTATTTTCCCAATCAGGTAAGTGGTTGCATTGTTCTATGTGTAGCACTATCGCGTTTGAAGTACGATGGAATTTTACGTCGCTTTTATGCTCTTTTAAACGAACATTAACCCCCCTTCCCGTTTCTCCAACATAAGTTCTTTGGCACCCCTTGCACGGTATTTCATAAACTACACTTTTGGCATCATTTATGTCTTCTCCACTTTCTTTATGTTTGACTATTTCTTGAATTTTCTTTCCCGTCACAGTGGCTACTTGTATGTCTGACTTTTCGAGTGTTCTTGATATGATGTCGATGTTCTTCGAGTTTGGCACTGAAATCCATCTTCGTTTTTTGTTCGCTTTTCGTTTTCTTGCAGTGTTCGTGTCATCATCTTGTGGTTGGTTCGCATGTCGTTCGTGTCTTCTGTTAACTTCATCGCTTTGCTGTTCGTTCGTTTCTTGCTCGTGTCTCTTGTTTTGCTCCTTTCTTCGATTTTTGATTTTTTCCGCCTTTTCTTTTTGTTTAATTAAAAATCCTCTTGGGTATTTCAGTTTTTCGAACGAAGCGTATATGTGATTGAACTCATCTTGAACAAATTCTTTGCTACAGATTCTTAAAGCTCTTAAAAAGAACCCAATCACGATTCCACTTTTTGTTCGTTGGCTGTGTGCTGAGTAAAAATGTACATAATCCTCTTTGTTCGTCGGTTTCCTGTAGACTTTGAATTTGAAACCTGTCGTCGACTTTATGATGCATGTGTCTAAAAACGCTATCTTTTCTTCTTTCTCTTCTTCTAGTGTGAATTGTATTTTTGGATGAACATCATTCAGTTTGTTCAGGGTTTCAGTCAAATCTTTTTCTTTCGGAACGATAACCAGTACGTCGTCTACATATCTGAGCCAAATTGAGTCGTCACCAATGATTCTAAGAAAATGCTCTTCTTCAAGATTTTCCATAAAAAGGCATGCAGCTACAGGGCTTAATGGTGACCCCATTGCAAGTCCGCTGTGCTGAACGTATTCACATCCTTTGTATGAGAAACAGTTGAATTTCATGCATAATTCGATGAGTTCTAAGTAATCGTTCTTCGGAAGAGGTAGTTCGTTATCGTTCATCGGTTCAATCACTTTTCGTATGGCGTTCAAGGCGTCATCGACCGGAACGTAAAAGTCTCTATTTACAAACGTTCCGGTCGATGACGCCTTGAACGCCATACGATTATACATTGTCACAACTCACAGTGATCAAGGCTGTTTAAGCCGAAAGCTTTGTGTATTTTGAATATATTTGATTTGTATTAATTGGTTTATTATTTACATCATTATCCATGCTTCTAGTTATATCGAAAGTACCGAAAAGCTTGATGCGCCTCTCTAGCATGCTGTGAATGCATATTAGAAAGCCGTGCTTAATTTCTATCCAAATGAGGGCGTTCATCTAGTTGATGCCCCACCACACGCCTTCAGCTTCATACCACGAATTTCCATCGAGGTTAAGCGCTCCCAGTCGGTCCCGAAATACACGGTCTCGGGGCTGTGGGTCAGGGGGGGGGGGGGGGCGGGGGGGGCGGTGTCACGGCGCTGTGGGCACGGACCCACTGACGGCGCTTCCCCTGCTGGCTGAAGGTCGCTGTGGGGAGGGGGGAGGGGCGCAGCGCGCTGCCCTGTCCCGCGGCATCAGATTACATGGCGGTGCCGACCCGCATATCCCCCCCCCCCTCCCCAGCCCCGGCGTTAGCGGTCCCACCTCAGGTGCCAGCGATCCGGCCGTCAACACCGGGCACCGGCCCGCGGCTGCTATAATACAGCCTCTGTTACATAAGTTGGGAGAATATAGCCCGATACGATATGATATGTTCAAATAACCGGCCAATGGTTGCAGCAATTTATTAGGAAAAATCGGCTCAATGTTTTCCATATTTTACTTAGTCCAAAATTATAAAAGTGAGACATATGTTCATACTCGTAAACTCCGGTGGCAAAACTCCGGCCTGAGTGCTATTTGTCATCCGGTCCGCAGCTGGTAGGTATTGGCCACAAACTGAAAAGCCCCTTTGCCTGCAAGTGCAGTGTATTGATTATGTTATATTCCACCAT